CCATTTCCGGTTTTCTAGTGGTTTATTGGAGATAAGAGTCTCACAGAGGGGGCTGGGAAGGGGCTCGGTGGTAGAGCGCTTGCCTTGCATGCCTGAGGCCCTGGGTTCGATTCCTCAGCACCCCATAAGCAAAAAGAAAAAAGCCGGAAGTGGCGCTGTGGCTCAAGTGGTAGAGCGCTAGCCTTGAGCTGAAGAGCTGAGGGACAGCGCCCAGGCCCAGAGTTCAGGCCCCACGACCAGACCCCCCCCCCCCAAAAAAAAAAAACCAAAAAAGAGTCTCACAGACTTTCCTGCCCTGGCTGGCTTTGAACCATGATCCTCAGATCTCAGCCTCCTGAGTAGCTAGGATTACAGGCATGAGCCACTGGTGCCTGGCTTGATACTGTTTTTTTTTTTTTTTTTTTTTTGGGGTCCAGTCATGGGGCCTGAACTCTGGGCCTGGGCGCTGTCCCTCAGCTCTTCAGCTTAAGGCTAGCACTCTACCACTTGAGCCACAGCGCCACTTCCGGCTTTTTTCTTTTTGCTTATGTGGTGCTGAGGAATCGAACCCAGGGCCTCAGGCATGCAAGGCAAGCGCTCTACCACTGAGCCACCTTCCCAGCCCCTTGATACTGTTTTTTTATCTGTAAAGTGGAGAAATGAAAGCTATGCTGTGACTGGCTATCTGGTGGCTCATACCAGGAATCTTCCCTACTCAAAAGTTGAGATCTGAGAATCCTGGTTTGTAACCAGTCTGAACAGACAAATCCTAGAGAGTCTTTTTTTTTTTGGTAGGTCGTGGGACTTAAACTCTGGGTTTGGGTGCTGTCCCTCAGCTCTTCAGCTCTAGACTAGTGCTCTACCACTTGAGCCACAGCACCACTTCCAGCTTTTGCTGCTTATGTGGTGCTGAGGAATGGAATCCAGGGCCTCATGCCTCTACCACTGAGCCACCTTCCCAGCCCTCCCCCCTCCCAGATTTTTATCTTTAGCAAAAAGCTAGAAATGGAGGTGAGGCTTTAGTCTGAGTGGAAAAAGCTGAGCAAGAGCTTGAGGCCCTCAGATCAAGCTGCGGGACCATAAAAATAAATAGGGAATATGGCTTAGTGGTAGAATGCTTGCTTAGCATTCATGAAGTCCTGGATTCAATTCCTCAGTACCACATACACAGAAAAAGCCAGAAATGGTGCTGTGGCTCAAGTGGTAGAGTGCTAGCCCTGAGTACAGAGAAGCTCAGGGACAGAGCCCAGGCCCTGAGTTTAAACCCCAGGACCAGAACAACAAATAAACATAGGAATAATGAGAAAAGGAAGCTGGATGCCTGTGGTGGTGACTCACACCTGTACTCAGGAGGCTGAGATCTGAGGATACAGTTCAAAGCCAGCCCAGGCAGGAAAGTCCATGAGACTCTTTTCTCCAATTAACCAATAGAAAACTGCTAATGGAGTTGTGACCAAGTGGTAGAGCACTGATCTTGAGCTGGAGAGCTGAGGGTCAGTGCCCAGGCCAAGTTCAAGCCCCACAACAAAAAAAAAAAAAAAAAAGAAAAAAGATTAATACAAAGAAAGGCTCAGTCAACAGAGCTACATGAATCCATCCCATGGTGTTATCATTCAATCCCTGTTTTGATTGATGAGCTGTTCTGCCAGTCTGGAATATAGCCATAAACAAAGCCCAACCTAAATCTCAGCCTAAAGGATGACACCAATACTAAGACTGCTAGGTACATTCAAGGAATAGGGAGGAGGCAAGTGTGGCCTGGGTGGAAAGCAAAAAGGAAGAGCTTCAGGAGATGAAGTCAGAGGAGATGGGTGGAGGTGAATAAGCTTGCCTTGGGTTGAAGGAGCCTAGATGCTATGCAGCCTCCCTCCATAAACACCCTCCTCTTCTCCCCACTCCAGCTCTCCCCTCCTAGGTGAGTCACTGGGGCTAGAAACGCCAGGTGTGACTGTGACCAAGTTTCTTAAGCACAGGCTCCGGGTCTGAGCCTCTGCCTGGGGGTTTTGTTTAAGGTCTGTGGAGGAAAACCCCTCCGGCTTCCTCTCAATGAAGATCTGTGTGAAGTCAGTGCAACTCACGGAACCCAGCAACTGCAACTCTCCTTCCAGGCCTGGGTCATCTTCATGTCCTGGTGCTGTTGCTGTGAGCCAGTCTGGGAGGTCACATGGTACATGCTCACTGAAGATCCCCCTCAGTGACTCCACATTGAACAGGAAGGCCTCAATTCTCCCTTGCCTCTGGGCTGCCTGGGGTCTTCTTTGAAGTTCAGTTAGATCATTGTAGGTTTGGATTTACTTTGAACTGATTCACCATTTTGGCTTTTCAGGTCTGAGAGGGAAGCTGCAAGAGAACTGGAATGCAGTTCATGATTCCCTGAAAAAACTAACACAGAGTTCAGTTCAGAGTCCAGCCAGTCAGTTCAGTTTGTTTTAACTTCAAGTCCCCAACTAAGGGGGCAGCCTTCTGGCATTTATGAATTTTCAACAAGCTTTCTAGATAAAGAAAGGAAACCGGGTTCTAAAGTTTGCAAGGACATTGCTGGGCCAAGATGGGAAATGAAAGCTGAGTGTGTGGTGCAAGTCTGTAACCTAGCAAGTCTGTAACCTAGCAACTTGAGAGAAGAGATGGGACTTCGAGGTTTGAGGCCAGCCCAGGCATAAAAATTCAGGAGACTCCAGTGGCTGGGTCTAGCAGGACAAGCCTGCTATTCAACTTACGGAGGGAACAGAATAGCTGGGTGCATTGGTGAGCCCCTGTCATCCTACATACAATGGGAAGCAAAATATAGAAGGATCACAGCTGCCTTTGGTCCACACTAGCCTGCCACCAAAAGTGGGATTCTATCTGAAAAATAACCAAGGCCAACAGGGAATGAGGTTGTGGCTCAAGTGGTAGAATGTCACGCAAGAGGCTGAGTTCAATTCCCAATACTACCAAAAGAAAAAAAAAAAAAAGGAAGAAATAAAAAAGATGGGGCCAGGGCTGGGAAGGTGGCTCAGTGGTAGAGCACTTGCCTTGCATGCTTGAGGCCCTGGGTTCGATTCCTCAGCACCACATAAGCAGAATAAAAAAGCCGGAAGTGGCACTGTGGCTCAAGTGGTAGAGCGCTAGCCTTGAGCTGAAGAGCTGAGGGACAGCGCCCAGGCCCAGAGTTCAGGCCCCACGACTGGACCCCCCCCCCCAAAAAAAAAAAAAGATACAGCAACCGAACTAGAAAGACAGCCAACTAATAACTGGAAAAAAATATTCACCAGCAATATATCAGATAAGGAGTTAATATCCAGTATACTCAGGGAACTCAAGAAACAAATCCCTCCCAAACCTAACAAACCAATTATTAAATGGGCAAGGGAACTAAAGCGAGACTTCTCAGAAGAGATAAAATGGCAAAGAAGGGCTGGGAAGGTGGCTCAGTGGTAGAGCACTTGCCTTGCATGGGTGTGGCCTGGGTTCGATTCCTCAGCACCACATAAGCAGAAAAAGAAAAAAAACAGAAGAGGCACTGTGGCTCAAGTGGTAGAGCGCTAGCCTTGAGCTGAAGAGCTGAGGGACAGTGCCCAGGCCCAGAGTTCAGGCTGCACGACCGGACCCCTCCCCCCCCCAAAAAAAAGATGGGGCCAGGTGCCTGTGGTCTTGCCTCCCAGGGTCTTAGCTCCTTAGGAGGCAGAAATCTGAAAATCATAGTTCTAAGCCTGTCTATGAGACTGATTTCCAATTAACCACTAAAATGCCGGAAGTGGAGCTGTGGGCTCAACTGGTAGAAAAACCAGTCCTGAATAAAAAGCCCAGTCCCTGCGTTTTACTCCAGAGCCTGTGTCCACGGTCCTTCTACCAGAGTCCCTGTGGGAAAATCTGAGCGACAGGCTTTGGGGCAGAGGAAAAAGAAATGTTGCAGGTTTCACTGCACTTCCATTACCCATTTGATTTATTCTGGAAGAAGCTAAGCCAGGATGTGGAGACAACTCCCTCCCCGCCCCCCCCCGCCCCCCACCGTATTGGCCCTGCTGGAATTCACACATCAACCCAGGAAATGGAGCACACGTCAGTGAATCAAACATTGGGGAAAGATGAGGAAGGACACAGAAGGCTTCCTGCGGAGGAGTGTGGGGGGAACCGGCGGACAATCCCCCCAGGCAACCAGCAGTGGCAGAACCGGCTTGGGGTGCTCAGTTAGCACTGCTGCGGGGGGGGGGGGGGCAGGAACCAAGCCCCAAGGCCCTAAGACCTGGTGGAGGGGGCGCCTCGTCAGAACTCCTGAGAAAGGAGGGCAGGGGGCCGCACCCAGAGGCGGGGGGGGGGGGCAGCCCTGAATCGGGGGCCGGGGGGCGACGGCAGGGTGGGGAAGGGCAGGGATCCTAGCTCAGTGTGTGCTGGCTTCCCATATGGAAGCGATCGGAGAGGAGGAAGAAGGAAAAGATACTTTGGAAGGAGACACAAACTTTCGGGAAAGTTTTCCTGACCAAGGCAGCCCTCCCTCCCCACCTTGCTCGAGACAGGGAGCCGGGCAGGAGGCCCCTGCAGTCCAGGGCGGTGGATGAGTCCAGGGGCTGCAGCCCCGGAGAGGGCGGGAGGCGCCCGCCGGCCTCGGGCGGGCGGAGGCATGAGGTCACCTGGCACCGAACCAGCAACAGCTGCGGAGGACTGGCGGGCGCAGCGGAGGGAGGCGGTGTCAGGCTCCGGCTCCCGGGGAAATTTCCCTCCCGACCCCCCGGAGGCGTGGCTTACAGCCCCGCCCGCCACGCTGGGAGCCGGCCCGCCTAGCGCCCCACCGAGGCCACGCCCCCTCCGCAACCTCCCTGGCGCCTGAACGGTCCCCTCCGAATTCCCTCCCCCCCCACCTCCCCCCACCAACTGGCGCCGGAGCAGTCCCGCCGCTTCCCTCGCCCTAGGCCACGCCCTCGGCTCTCAGGCACGCCCATTTCCTCGGGAGAGTCCCGCCGCGCCCCGGGCCTTGGCCCCGCCCCCACAAGGCCCCGCCTCCCGCCACGCCCCACCGTTTTTGAAGCGTCTCGGAGCGCCGCTGCCGCCTCAGAGTCGCGCGCGGACCGTGGGGCGGTACAGACGCGTGGAGGCCGCGGCCAGCTCGACGCCCGGACTGTCCAGCGAGCGCAGCGCAGGAGCCCGCAGCCCGAGCAGCCCCGGAGCCGCAGCCGCAGCCGCGCCGAGCCTACCATGGCGTTGTCGATGCCGCTGAACGGGCTGAAGGAGGAGGACAAAGAGCCCCTCATCGAGCTCTTCGTCAAGGTGAGCCAGCGCCCGCCGCCGTCCCGCCCGGCCGAGCCCCGCGCGTCCGCCCGGCCCGGGGGGTGGGGGGCGTCTTCCCGGCGGCCCCCGCCCCGGCGCGCCACGCGCGCTCCCCGCGCCCCGGCGGTGCCCATTGTCTCCGGGCCACCCGCGCCTTCCCGCCTCCCAGGAGCCGGGGCGGGGACGGGTCGGTAGAAAGCTCCAGAACGGGCAGCGGGGCGGCGGCAGCGGTGGCGGGAACGACGGCCCGCGTCTGGGCGCAGCGGGCCGACCCCCGGCCCCCGGGCCGACCCGGAGGCGTGGGTCCTGTCACCCGCCCCAGCTTTGCCGCCCCTCCGCCCGCGTCCTCCCGGGCCCGCAGCCCCGGCCCCCGTCGCTGCAGCCTCCGGCCCCGCCGTCCGGGGGAACCCCACCGGGCACGCGCTTGCAAAGAACCTCTGCGCCCCCGGGATCTGAAACTGAAACTTTTCATCTCGGACGCAGTCTTCAAAGGAGAAAACGGACCAAGGGGCCCGGGGCTCCCCCGCGAAAGACCCGGGGTTCCCAACCTGGGATTTCCTGCCTTCGGTGTTTTCTGTTGTTGTTGTTAACCACCGTCTGGTTTTCTGGTTTCTCCAGCGCCGAGGATTTCGTATGATGCAACATTTTGGCTGCTCCCCCCCCTGCGCGTTGCCGCCCCGGGAAAGATTGCTGTGTGCCCTTTTGTTGGAAAAGAAAAATTTGTTGAGAGAACGAATTCATTCCCTCGCTTTGGACCCCAGCGGGACCGATCCCCTTTCCTCCCCACGTCCTTCCCGCCCCCTTTCGCTTTTATATCCCGGAATTAGCTTATCTGCTTCCAAATCCTATACGTGGCCCCTTCCCGTTTTTCTTTAGTGTTTTTCAGTGTAAAACAGCTGGATCCAGCTGCTTTCCCTAAAACGATTTCTTTGAGGTTCTCTCAGCCACTTAACTTTTAGCAGCCAGGCTGCTTTAGAGCAGGGCAACACTGGAAGAGTTACCAGGGGATCCAGTACTTTTCTATTTTCTTCCCTGAGTTTTTGGTTTAGAGAAGGGAACTGAGGGGCGCATTTTAAGAAATGGCGAGGAGAAAGGATCTGCCAGTGAGTGAGTGGATCACTGTTTACCTTAGGATTTTCTTTCGATTCTCAGTTTGAGAAACATTTTGCTCCCCCAAATGGGAAGAGCTGAAGGGTGTGTAGAACTTCCAGAGTGGCAGTTAAATCTCAACTACTCTGAGTGACAGTACTTTGAGGTGAAGAGAATGTGGGAAGGAACCCGAAATGAGAGGAAGGAAGAGAGGGGAGTGGAAAGCTGTGTGGACAGGGAAAAAGGTGGGTCAGAGATCAGGGGGAAAAAAGTTAAAAGAGGTTAGAATTCGAAGGAATTTCCTTACTCTAAAAAAAGTATATGCTAATAACCCAAAATAATGGTAAACTTTATGAGCATATTTATTTATTTATTATTTATTTATTTTTTGGGGTCCGGTAGTGGGGCCTGAACTCTGGGCCTGGGTACTGTCCCTCAGCTCTTCAGCTCAAGGCTAGCACTCTACCACTTGAGCCACAGTACCACTTTCGGCTTTTTTTTTTTTTTCTGCTTATGTGTTGCTGAGGGATAGAACCCAGGGCCTCAAGCATGCAAGGCGAGCGCTCTACCACTGAGCCACCTTCCCAGCCCTTTATGAGCATTTTTAAATTTAGGATAATATCAGGATGCCTTCTCAGTATTCTGGCTCACACAGTAAACACTTGCCTAGCATGCAATATGTGCTAGGTTCAGGCCTCAGGACTGGGAGAAAAAAATGAGACCGATTTGGAAGTGGGCAATGTCTTAATCCCAGCTACTCTGGGGGTGGAGGCTGGACTATTTCAGATTTAGAGATAGATCTTATCTCAAAGACAATGAAGGGCTTGAGGGATTTGGCCCAAATTGTAGAGCTCCAGTCTAGTAGGTCTGGGACCCCACATTCAACCTCTAGTATCTCCCCCCCAAAAAATAAATTAACTAAAATAAAAGAATTGGAAAGAGGCAGGAAAAATATAGGTCAGTAGTGGAGTGCTTGCCTAGCCTAGATGAGGCCCCTAGGTTCAGTTCCCATTAACACCCATTTAAACACCACACACGACACACACGATTCCTGTTGAACTTCTGGTGAGTTAATCTCTCCTTTAGAAGGACTTGGGTGTGGTCACTTTCCTGAAGTTGAGTCACTTGCATACCCCTTCTTTCTCAGTTTTCCATATCTTTGTTGTGAACCACTTGGAGTCATGGTTGCTTGCACAAGCTATAAGTCTGTCTTTCGTGAAGGTCCTGAGGATTGAACTCATGGCCTTGCCACTGAGCTTTTGTACTCAAGGCTAGCTAGCACTCTTAGCATTGGAGCCACAGCTCCACTTCCAGCTTTTTTGGTGATTAATTGGAGAGAAGAATCTCATGGACTTTGCTGTGGGGCTGGTTTCAAATCTACTGGTATCCTTAGATCTCATTGTCCTGAGTAGCTAAGATTACAGGCCTGAGCCACCAGCCTCCATCAGAAGTTTTTAGTATGGGTTTGAACACAGAGCTAGAGTCATAGTTTTGTGCTTATATGCTAAGTTATTCTGAGCTATTGGTTTTTCTTATTAAAGCCTTTTTTTTTGGTTGGTTGTGGGGCTTGAACTCTGGGCCTGGGTGCTATCCCTCAGCTCTTCAGCTCAAGGCGAGCGCTCTACCACTTGAGCTACAGGGCCACTTCCGGTTTTCTGGTGGTTTATTGGAGATAGGAGTCTCACGGTCTCTCCTGCCCGGGCTGGCTTTGAACCGCGACCCTCAGATCTCAGCCTCCTGAGTAGCTAGGATTACAGGCCTGAGCCACCAGCGCCCGGCTTTAAAGCCTTTTTTTTTGTTGTTGGTGTGGGGCTTGAACTCTGGGCCTGGGCACTGTCCCTAAGCTCTTCAGCTCAAGGCTAGTGCTGAACCATTTGAGCCACAGCGCCACTTCCAGTTTTCTGGTAGTTTATTGGAGAAAAGAGTCTCACAGACTTCCCTGCCTGGGCTGGGTTTGAACTGTGATCCTCAGATCTCAGCCTCCTGAGTACCTAGGATTACAGGCGTGAGCCACAGGTTGCCCAGCTAAAGCCTTATTTTTATTTGTGAAATGAAAAGCAAAATACTAGCCTGGGATTCAACACAGACCAATTTTTCACTGACAAAGACTAGTGTTAGTTGGGTGAATAAAAAGGACAACTAAAACATACTCTTGATTTCTTCTCAAAACCTATGTGTGGAAATGCAAATAGGAGAAAATACCCTTGTAAATACAGTAAATTTGAAAATAATCGGGCTGTGGTGTCCAGAGTGCTATGCTAAATTGTCTTATTTTTTTTCGTGGGAGCTTGAACTCTGGACCTGGGCGCTGTCCCTCAGATCTTCAGCTCAAGGCTAGTGCTCTACCACTTGAGCCACAGCACTGCTTATGTGTTGCTGAGGAATCGAACCCAGGGCCTCATGAAAGGCAAGCATTCTACCACTGAGCCACCTTCCTAGACCTTGTCTTAATTATTCTGTCAAGAAGTATTTGAGTTTGTAGCAGAGAACTGTTTTTTTTTTTTTAAAGCAGGAGCAAGAACACACACAATTTATCACATGCATCCACACAATTTATTACATGCTTAAGTCATAGGAGTATTAGCCTCAGTGCCAGCAAAATTTATTTACATTGAAGCACAGAGTATGTGTAGGAATTCTCTGTGCATTTCTTTTCCCTATTATTTAGCACCAAGATTTAGAACCAAGGTTGCAGTTTGTGTAGAGGTAAATATTAACTGATTGATGACCCACAAAATAAGAGACATTGAGAAGAGTCTAGATTCCATTGGCTTGTGAGGGCCCAGCTTCTGTTGACACTGCTGCCTCTCGGTGCATACTGGGAGCTTTAATATGACATGAGGGTATTTCTCATCTCCATTTAGGAAGTAATCCCTTTGTAGTGTTTAGTTTTTTATGAGTTGGGACTTAAATTTGATATATTACTATGAGCTGGAGCATGGCTGCAGTAGCCACCAAGCTACTGGGATCCAGGTGCTAATTGTAAATTCGTTAATTTGGCGGAGGATGACATCAGTAATTTTTCTTTTGTTATTTAGAAGAGATTTCTTTTGTGCATGGACTTTTGAGCTAGACTCCTGGCTTTTCCTAATATGTCAGTCAAGATCCTTAGATTCTCAGGGGTGGTTTCTGTCTCAATAATATTGGGGTAAAGTAATAATAATAGCTATTTTATATGGTTGCTGAGAGATTAAAAAAACTGCTGTAACACTTAATGCTCTGCACTCAAACAGTGTTTCAGACAACATGTAATTTTTTATTCTATTTTTTTTGTTGATCATGGGGCTTGAACTCTGGGCTTGTGGGCTGTCCCTCAGCTCTTCAGCTCAAGGCAAGCGCTCCACCACTTGAGCCACAGTGCCACTTCTGGTTTTCTGGTGGTTTGTTGGAGATAGGAGTCTCACGGACTTTCTTGCCTGGACTGGCTTTGAACCTCGATCCTCAGATCTCAGCCTCCTGAGTAGTTAGGATTATAGGCATGAGGCACCGGTGCCCAGTGCAAATTTTTTTTTTTCTTTCTCACCTTGCAGTCTAGGAGGGTGTTCTATATCTCTGTTTGTGATCAAGGCTCTTTCATCTTATTTTTTCACTAAACATCTCTCTCATCAGAGCATTGTCCTTTTTGTTTGTATATGTATGTATACACCTGCACAAATACATATCTGCGTGTGGGTGAGGAATGTTGGCTTTTTGTCCCTTAGCTTTTTCACTCAAGGCTGATACTCTACCACTTGAGTCACAGCTCCATTTCCAGCTTCTTTTTTGGTCAGCTTTTCTGGTGAAGGCTACTGCTCTACCAATTTGAGCCATACCACTTCTGGTTTTTAGGTGTTTATTTGGAAATAAGATTCTTACAGAGTACCTGCCCAGGCTGGCTTTGAACCATGATCCTCAGATCACAGCCTCCTGAG